GCGGGGGGGGAGGGCGGAGCGTCCCCACCCCGTCCCCCCCATACCATCGAACCTACCGCAGCGCGCCATGCGGGCGGGGGCGGGGCCTGGAAAGCCCCACCCCTCTACATAAGCCCCGCCCCTTCTCCCGGTGACCGGCGGCGGCGGCGGTGGCGGCGGCATGGCCGTGTGGACCCGGGCTTGTAAAACGGGGCTGCTGGAGCTGCTCCTCCGGGAACGCTGGGTCCGCGTGTCGGCGGAACTGACCGGGGAGACCCTGAGCTTAACGGCGGAACCGGGGGCCGGGGATGCGTCGGTGGTGAACGGCGTGGTGAACGGCAACGCGGAGGCGGCGGCGGCGGCGGCAGCAGCGGCACCCGGTTGCGTGAGGAGGGTGCGGGTGGTGAAAGCGGAGGCGGGAGGGCTCGGGATCAGCATTAAGGGAGGTCGGGAGAATCGGATGCCGGTGCTGATCTCACGGATCTTCCCGGGATTGGCGGCGGAGAGGAGCGGAGCGCTCCGGTTAGGCGACGCCATCCTCGCCGTGAACGGCGTCGATCTCCGCGATGCCACCCACGATCAAGCCGTGCAGGCGCTGAAGAGAGCCGGCAGAGAGGTCATCCTCGAAGGTAACGCCTAAACCCCCCTCCTCTCCCCCTCGAATCCCCCGTACGGGCCCCCGGTGCTACCCTGTCCCCCCGGTGCTCCCCCCGCCGTTACCGAGTCCCAACACACCCCCTTTGCCGCTGTCACCGGGCTCCTCGACCGCCTTTGGGCCCCTTTTCCGGGTGCGGGACGCCACTCCCCCCCACCCCAGAGTCCTGGTACGTGTGTGTGTCCCCAGAAACCCCAACCCCAGTGTGCCCCCTCTGGCACGGGGACAGGGACTGGAGTGTCCCCTCCCTGGTCGGAGTGTTCCCTCTGCGGCGGGATGGGAACCCCTCACAGCTGGGAACAAGGACGGGACAGCTTCACTGACTGTGTCCCCTCAGGGCAGACCTGGGATCCCCTGGGATAGACCTGAGGTTCCCCAGGATAGACTTGGGGTGCCCTGGTTGCAATGTCGCCCTGGACAGGGTGTTCCCTGTCTTTGGTGATGAAACCTTCAGAGTGGGCAGGTTTCCCCAGGGAGGGCTGTGGCCTCGGGGGTTGGTTTAGGTCTTCCCACATCCCTGTGGGTTCCGTGTCCCTGCAGATTCTGTGTCCCCATGGGCCCCGTGCCCACGGCACAGCCGGCTCGAGACTGGCCTGACGGAGCTACTGGCTCCTGCCCGACCTGTTCCCGGCAGCCTGACAAGCTCGGGCAGGACTTGCCCAGCCCGTTGGCGCAGCACGGGGCTCGTGCCATGGGGCACTGCAAGGACATGAGCCCCCTGTGATGCAGATCAGGGTGGCCCGTGCAGGTGTGCCACACACTCTGTCCTGGTGTCCTGGCACGTCCATCTGTCCTCCAGTTGTGTGAGTCTGCTCCATTGACACAGTGCCTGTTGGGCACTGAGCATGGAGATGGTGCTGCTGCTTGCCTGCCTGTTCCCGGCACACTGTGCCAGCACAAAGGGACATGGGTGGGCTCCCTGGAGTGGACACAGCTGGCATGGGGTGGCTTAGCCACGGCTGGGGTGCTGTGGGGGCTGAGGTGGAGATGCAGCATTGGGCTTGGTGCTTGGGCCAGGGCCACCAGCAGAGGCAGCCAGAGTCCCCACGGGACCCCAGGCCGGATTCACCACGTCCTTCCTTGCGCCGCCCGGCTGTTTGATCCCATCCCTCAGGAGCCTCCAGCCCCGTGGCGTGTTTGTCCCTCGCTTCCGCCATGGGCATGAGCGCTGCGGCAGCCGCCTCTTCCCTTCCTTTCCCTTCCTTTCCCTTCCTTTCCCTTCCTTTCCCTT